CCAGGACATGTTCTAACCTCACAACTCGTGTTCTAGGACTTGACCCACTCCAGTTAACCACTCCTGTCCATTTGTGCCTCAATCAACCTGTCAGAGTTCACCACCCAAAGGTGCACTCAAATAAAAGGTGAAATAAAAGAGCTTTTAAGTAATTAAGCACCTCTTTCCAGACTCACTAACCCTAATATAGCAGAAATTTTAAAGGCAAATATCTTATGTCTGAGTCCCTCTCCCAGCAGCAGGAGAATGTGGAGTTTGTAAATAACAACAGCAATACAAGGAATGCCTCTTTGCTTACCCGATCCCACTGAAATTAATGGTCTGTGGTTTAGGTCTGTGTCAGTGCCATAAAGCAGGATATGCCTGGAGACCAGGAAGTGTCTGCTTCGTGTGTTAATGATGGAGTTATGGAGTGGCAGCAGCCATTTCATGGTCAAAGTTGCAGAAGGGTTTTTACTACATGCTTGACTCTCCCTCTTTATATGCCAACAAAAAGCTGAAGAAATTCCTAGGTCAGGCCTGGAGCCGAGGTTGAAAATTTTCTATAAAATTTGAAAGGGATCCAGCTAAAGATTTTCACATGATGCCACCCCTGAAAAAACACAGCTCACAAGCACAGGCTGTGCCCCTCCTACCACTCAGGTGTAAACTCACACAGGGGTGAGAACCTGGGTATGAGCAAAAACTGTTCAGCAAAATTACTGCCCCCTCAAGCCTCTTCTCCACTGAAGCCCCAGCTCTCCTTCTCCAGCCCCACCATCCACATGCTCCAATCACCCAAGAAAAAAGCATCATACTTGTGTGTTATATTTTAATGTTTATGCTGTGGCTTTTTGTATAATAGGAATAATCGCTGTTGCTTTGTAGTACACTTACAACAAATAGCTTTGGAGATTGCTCAAACACTTTAGCTCCACTTCAGCTCTTAATCAAACTCAGCAGCTGTTTATTGCAATTACACCATAAAGCAATAGACATTATCCCTTAACTAACTGTCTTATTAATATAGGTAGTTACACAGCTATTTCATAGTTAGTCTTAAATAACTGCTTTTAATTATTTTATTAACATAAATAACCATCTCAATAAATTTAAATTAAACGCATATGTGAGAAAACGCAATTTAAAGCATTGCACAAAATTGCATCTGTTTACTAATGTTCAAATCGATGTCATTGTGTAATTCAATTAAAGTGCAACTTTAATTTATTTCAATTTTTGATGGCCAGGAAACACCTAAGACGCTAGAACTTCCTAAATATTGAAATGGGCACTGTCTGATCCTCTTCTGCTGCTGTATTTTCCTTGCAATATTAGTTTCCTGCCAGGGGAATGAGATTCCTTTTTTACCCACAAAACTTACAATTTAATATCCCCATTTAATTTTGTTTTCTTCCCATTCCGAAAGCAACAGATGACTGGATTGCATTTTGCCTTCTAGTTCAGTTGTGCAACTCTGCTTTCAAGGGAGAAAAGGATTTTATTTTCCTGTGCAGCACTGGATCCTCCATGTCTTATGCCATTTGTTCTGGTAGGATCAAGCTCTTTGCCTTCAACTAAGGGGAAGGGAGACGTTGCCTGACCTGGCCTGAAATCCCCTTTTTCTGCCTCGGGGGGGGGGGCTGGTTTATTGTTCAGGGGGCTCATTCTACCCAAAAATCCTCCACTGCAGAGCAGGCAGCACTTGCACAGCAGCTTTTATCCCACAGTGCCAGCACGGAGCGTGTCCCTGGAAAGGGAGCACAGCCCACCCCTCATCTCACACAAGGGTCTGCCTTATTCAGATGCTCTTTGGGGATGAAACGAAAATCTCCTATCCTTTCTCAGTTTGAGATTCCTCCCCTGAAGGAAAAAGAGGAAAACTTGCTGAAGAGCAAGGAGAAAAGGAGAGGGACTCCCTTCACAACTTGCCACAGAGAGGAGAACAGAAGATCTTAGGAAGCGCTGGGAGAAAATCAAAGTGGCAAATAAAAGCCAAGGATGGGGTGAAAATAAGGCTGGAAAATAAAAAGGTGCAAAAGGAGGCGAAGGGGCCTCACATATTTTCCTGCCAGCCATTTTCTTCTGCCACTCAAAGCTTTTTGATTTAGTTCTATAGTTGGTGCAGGGACCTGCAAATGTGAACTGGTACCTCCCTGAGATCAAATAACAACAAACCCCCTCGAAAGCAACTGGGATGTATTGAGAAAAAGTGCTGAAGGCAGGAAGATGCAAAGCAAAATTTCTCAGAGGGTCTTGGTTGGGATCTCAGCAGCTTTTTAAGGTTCAAAACTGTGGATATCGAGCCATATTTGGCTCTTGGATATCAGTCAATGTCAAAGATGTCATGGGAGAACAATGAAAAAAAGATTTTGGTCCCTGAAATCCAAACTACTAAGGGTGAATTTTGTTAACTGGCAAAGTCCATCCCATCCTCTGGCTGCTCACGAGAGTACATGATCTCCCTACAAAGAATCATTTAAGGAAGGCATTTCCAGGCAGGTACAACACTGTATGAGGAGGAAGGTGCCTATGGAAAAGCGGAGCTGGAGACAGCAAAGATGAAAACAGTGATTTATTTATTTTAATTCTTCTATCCCAGTGTACCAGGTAACATGAAGGGATAATTACAGGCTCTGTCAGAGAGGGGTTGCTGATGCTGTGATCTGGCAGACACTCTAAGCTCCTCAGGAGACGAGCTCTTAAGAGTTTACAGACTCTGCTGGGCAAAGACAGAGGTGACTCAGTACAAAGGGTTTTTACAGAAAAATGTGGAAATCAAGAGTGAAGGAAGACATGCTTAAACTTCAGGTAACTGAGAGTGATCAGGGGTTGGATAATTGAAGTTCCAATGTATATTTGCCTACACTGTCGCTCACCTTTGAGCCCTACCTAGGCATCTTGACATTTATGTAGTCTGAAATCCTGAAAGCTCTGAGTTTAGACAACTAAATTGTTGCTTGTCAATTTAGTCTTGACTGAAAGACAGGTGTTTTGTTTCAGAGTAACACTCCTTTCAGACTCCTCTATTCCCAAGCTCAGATTACTGAGCTAAGGAACTATCAAAAATGAAATAACTTACAAGCAGGCGAAGACATTTACATACCTTGAACAAAGGAATTCTTTGGGCAAAATTGGGATTTTTAATTATTGCTTGTTTTCTGCCATGTGGGACTCTCATCTCGAGCTCTCTGGTGGGAGCTAGAGGAGCTTGGAGGCTTTGAAAGTTCCTACAGTTTTGGTAGGGCTGCAGGTCCTCTGCTGCTGCTCTGCAGTTTTACAAGCCTGTTCTGCTGAATGCAAAATGCTCTCTGAGCAAAGATCCAGCCGAGAATATGAACCAAAATTCTCCAAAGACGCAATTCTGAGAGCAGGCCTGCTACACACAGACCCCAAATTCTGCTGCCTTTGAGCTGCTGCTGCCCCTGAGCAGCAGGTGAGCCCATTCCCACCAAGTGCCTCCCTGCAGAAAGCACTGACCCAACCCTGCCCACGTTCCTGCCCTTGGAGAATTCGGGTGCTCCTTTTTCCATGTCTCTGTGCCTGGGTGCTGGTGCTCACACACTTCAGGCAGGGTTTGGGCCTTAATTCCTTTATTTATGCCATTAAGGGGGCTGAAGGCAATGGAACACAGGCTTAATCACACTGACCTGCCAATAACCTCGGCTCTGACCTGGAGGGATCCCATGTTTTGGCATAGGTTAAGGTCTTATTTAATTTAGAACCTTAAGCTGGATTTGAACTGTAGCCCCAGAAGTAAAAAGCCAGCCTTTTTATCTGGGAAGCCACATGGCTCTGGCTTCCTGACTGGTACTTGTGACATCCCAGTATTGGCAAACCAGGGACATATTAGCTGTGTGCTCTATTTTCTGCCCTTAATTATGGCCAGCTAGTCTGAGTTTTCTTTCCTTCTTTTTTTTTTTTTAGGATTTGAGTGACAAAGTGACTATGCATATCATTCCACATTTGAACTGTAAGACTTCAGTATTTCTACCTCTAGTGTGTAATTGGATCAGCTGCCAGTTACAGAAAGGAGCTGGGTGAGTATTAAGTGTGTGGAAAATGAAGAAGAGTCCAAGTGTGAAGGGGAGGAATAATTTGACAAAGCCTGCAGTGAGCTGTACGTGGTTTTCTCGTTCCAAAATGGAGTAGGTTTTGAAGCACATGAGGAAAAACTGGCTTTGATTTATTAGCTTTGGTTCACAGAATGCTGGCCACAATCTTGGAGAGTCTCAAGACACAGGGAAAGCCACAGGCCCTGCCCTGAGGAGCTCACAATGCCGACATTATCATAACGAGGATGGACGGGTGCCAAGCTGAAAAACACTCTGCTTTCATCTGACTCCTAAAGCTGTGCCTTCAACAACCTTGTCAGGCAGTGCACAAAGCTCCTGCCACGGGCTTGGCACCACAGCAGGACTGGGGTCTCATGTTATCGTGATGTGGTGGTTCTCAAACCATCACACCCAATGCTCTTCTGCAGGTCCCCACTGTAGCACCTCCTTATCTGACCTGGAGCTTCTCATTACATTACAAAGCTAATGTAAGCATGAAACAGTTTAAAATCTACAACAAAAATCCACAGTAAACCTCAGCCCTTTCAAAAGGTGAGAAATAGAGGGGGTCTGTGTCCAGTCAGAGTGAGAGTGTTGGCCTCGGGACAAGAAAGTTGAGTTCCAACAGTAAGTACATGAAGTTATGGCAGGATCATACAGTCAGAAAGACAGCTCTTTATCCAGTAAATGTTCAACTGTTTATCCTGTTACAAAGTGCAAGCAAATCCCCTCAGATATGAACCGGCAGTCTGCATTGGTGGGACAGGAGAGCTGCATTCTGAGTGGGTAACCAGAACTTCCTTCACTTTGCATCTCAAAGCAACTCTAAGATGCAACTCAGGGCAACAGTCTGATCATGAGGTGCCCAGTTTAGGGCATTAGGAGAGAGGATTGCAGCCTAAAATCAAAGAAAAGGTCACAACATCCAGGGCAGCTCATGAAAGAAGCAGAAGAAATGCCAATTACCTGGGAATTCACAGTTATCCCTCAGCTGTAGAAATCCTCCATAAAATCCACCATGCTGATCTGTAAAGAGAAAGCAAGAAACTTTTATTAGTGGCACAAACAAACTCAGAGAATCACAAATACTCCAAGTGACTGACTGCCTGGTGGCAGCCAGGATATGGATAGTACTGCCAAGAAGGTGGAGAAAGCAAAGAGCAACTGAGATTTGCTACTTCCCAACTCTAGGTTGCTCTAGGCTACACTTGGTGGCTTGCTGACCATAGGACCAAACTGATATTTTGGGATTTGGAAATTCTTCTGCTATGCCTTCAACAGCAGCCACTAATTGAGAGGAGCAGTGTCCTAAAGGGCCCCTGGGTTACTGCCACAGAGCCACATCCTCTCTGGCTGGTATAAAAGCCCTGCAGACAAGTCTATCAGGCAAAAGCACAACAAAAAACCATCTCAAAATCATTTCTCTCTGGCTCTCCAAGGGCGTTAGGGCATTAAGACAGAATGTCCTACCTCAAAGGAAGTCAAGATTGGATCAGAACATCTCAGAGAGATAGAGAAGGAGAGATGGCAAGAGGCAGCAGTGTAAAGGTTTTATCAGCATGACTTGGGGATGACCACATTACTCATAGGTCACTGTGCTTTCCAGCTGACTAGCAACAGATGAAATAAGGAAAACAACAGCCTCTGGATTTCCAGGTAGCAGCTGCAGCCAAGTCTGCCTTTTCAGATGCCCTTTTAGTGTGGAATATGCACGGTGCTGCTCAGAAACCTGACTTCCCATGCAGAAGGGAACCCACTGTGAGATCCCACTGTCACCAGGCAAGTCCAGGAGAGCATCAAGACCATATTTGTGTTGTTAGAGGGAGGAAAACTTCAAATGCAAGGCACTTGGTTCTTTGTGGATCTCAGCCCATCTCCAGCAGAAAGGCACCAGGAGTGGGTTATCCTGCTGTGAATCCTCAACCTGTATGGCAGCAAACAGGCACAGCTGCTCATGTCCCATCACAGCAGCCACAATACCGAGATTTTGTTACGTAACAAAGACTAAAATATCATTTATTTATACTGAAGGGGTGCCCTTCTGCCAAGCATTGTACAAAGGCTTTACCAAGGACTGCTTGTGTTTTTCGGAAGGTGCCATTTAATCAGATACACACACACAGATCCCAACAGCTGAGTGGAAAATAATACTGCCATTCCTGACAGTTCTCAAATTAGCAAGAGCTTATAATGAAGCTTTTGTAAGACATCCCTTTCAAGGATTTGCTGGATACCTCCCTTGCTGGGGGTGGGTGCACACGGGGTAACTGCCCTCCTGCTCTGTGCTTAATTCTCTCACCTCGTGCTATGTTGCTTGTTTCCTGCACTCAGAGATCTCCTACTTGTGTTTGAACTCTCTGAATACTCTCTTCAGCTACACACAAGGAGATAGAGGCCTTGGTAACCTCCTACCCCAGCAGTTCTTTTCCTGCAGTCAGGAAATTATCTCCCTTTTTTTTGTTTTCTTTTCTTTTTTTTTTTTTTCCCCATTGCACAGAACTAGGGGAATTCCCCCTTCCACTGCCTGGGCTCTGATGGCAGTGATTGGTGACAGCAGCAAAAAACCCCAAGCCACACCACTCACAGACAACAGTGTCTCGTTTTGCATCGGGTTTTATGTCAATATTTTGATAATTTAGGCAATTCCACATTCATGTTGGTACTGAGATATCTAGGAAACAATGTATCCTTCAAATAATTCAGTAAGTGTCATGATAGGCCTGTGTGAATGCTTGTGCTTCTCTCCACAAAGAACTCAAATCACGTAAAACTCTGAGACCTGATTTTCAGCTGATATAAATCCAAAAAGATACTGTAATTATTGGTAGGACAGTTTACACACTGAAATATCTTGGCCCCTCTCTCCTTCATGCAAGCAGAGGGAACAGGTACCAGGAGGGGAAGGTTTCATGTCTCTGCCTCCCAGAAGTGAGTTTGCACAGGGAGCTGGAGGCTGTAGATGCCTTCTGCCCTGGCAGGTTTTCTTTTTCCTTCATTCAGGAAATTGTCTTTCTCTCTCTTTTTTTTTCTTTTAATGCAATTAACAAGAGAATTCCCCTTTCTTTTGTTTCTGAGGGCCGTGGAGCAGGATCAGAGAGGAAAAGTAAGTGGCACCTCTAATATATTTTGCCAGAATATGGGAAGAAGATAAGTATGAGACAGACAAACAAAACATAAAACTGGTTTAGGAAAGAAGGGGGAAAATGCCTGGGAAATGTAGTAATAAAGGAACCTCACCAGTAGCAACAACTCGAGGAGAAAAGGGACTGATGGATAGCTGTGCTGGCACGAGTGAGGAAGGGTAAACCAAACCTTTTCAAAGCATAAGAAAAGAAAACCAAATTGCATTTAAAAAAACTATTGAGAAAAAATAAAAAAGCCAGAGGACAAATAAAACAGAGAGAGGGAGGATTTCTATGAGCACAAAAGCAGAGGTCAGTACCCCGTGGTCATTTCCTAAGAAAGGAGGAAGCAGAAGTGAAGGAAAATCCCTAAATATAAAAGACTACTTATAAACAAAGGACACATTGACTGCTACTCCATGATTTTTTGAAGGTTTGCTATCAGCATATCTCCAGTGATAAATGCCTTCACATGATGCCAGCTTTCTGCAGGCACAACTGCAGCAAATCACTTCTGCCAGGCAGAACATGAAGAAACAAGGAATCATCTCCTCCCCTCCACGTGGCACTGCTCTGGTCCGTGCACATCCTCTCCACACCAACCCTCAGGAGAGGAGCACATCAGGGCAGCAGGGCAGGAGGATGTCCTGCAGAACACAGGATGAGAACACAAATCTAGGTTGGCAGCCTGGAGCTTATTTCAAACAATGGTTACACAGGTCCATCTCTGACCAAGGCTCCTCATTGCACATCCTGCTCCAGTGACTCTTTTGTCACTTGGAAACCAGTTTGTCTAGGCACAAAAAAAATACTTCTAGATCATTCTTGCCATGACCATAAAACCAGAAAATTGCCAGGTGCCTCCTCTGAATGGCAATGATATCCACAAAAAGACTGGGCTGGTAAGAACATGTCCAGGAGCTCTTTGGTCCACTGCCATTCATTAAAGCCCCCCAGCTCAAGTTACTGTCTCAAAGCCCCTGCCAGGTGCCCTGGAGCACACCTCCAAGCTCACCTTTCCATGGAGAGAGGAGCCCCTGAGCCACCCCACTGACCTGAAGCCACAGCAGGACGTGTAGGCCCAAGGCTGGGCAGGGATGGGGCTCCATGGAAGAAGGGAAGGCCCAGTTTTAAAAGTCATGGGTGACTTTCAGAATTTATTCAGAAGCTTGATGGGGTCAAAAGTTGTGCCCACTGACACGTTTTCAAGCAGAGAAATACTTGCAACTAAACCCTCAGGCATTAAACTGCATATGGGCAAATGCTGTTCTCCCTTCCACCCCATCAGTGGGGTTCTACAATTAACATTAATCATTTCGAGGGCAATATTCTGCCTATTGACCAGAGTCCCTTTCTGGAAGGGAGAGATTCATACTGACACTGAAAGGTGAATTTGCAATGTCTGCATGTACATTCCCTTGCAACAAAAGAGTCATATCAAGTCCTCTGTTTACCAGGAAGACCCAGCAAGCTCCTGTGGTATCACACCAACATAAGTGAGATGAGAGCCTGGCCCCAAATCCTCAATCCCACAAACTCCCACATCGTGCTGCCACAAAGAGGAGGCTGCTCCCAAGGCTGAGATCATGCCCAGATCCTGCAGTCTTTACTCAGACCTCAACTGTAATGGAAATACTGCCTTCCCTCACCACACCATCTTCACTATGAGTGCTCCTGTACACAGCTTTTTTTGCCAAAATAAATACTGCTGGGTTATGGGGTTTTGGGGTGGGTTTGTGGTTTTGGTTTTTTTTTTGTTTGTGTGGTTTTGGCTGGGGTGGGAAAAAACATGCAAAATTATTTTTTAAATAGAAAAAATAAATCCACTTTTTTTTTTCTTTCTGGAACAGACAGCTTAGAAACATAGAACAGCCTTTTTTTGTCCCCCCAAGCCCTTGCTCTGTACACCACCCCAGTGCCACCCTTGCTTTAAGAATAACCGTCAATCTGTGCCATCCTTAAGGCCAGACATTCTTTGGATTTGGTTATTACATCAAGGTGCATTTGTGCTCCTAAATGGGCAGCTGTACTGGAAATGGAGCACAAAGGAGCAGAATTCAGGCTGTTCCAGCGTGGGTCCAAAGCCCGGCGTGTCTGCGGTGCTGTGAGTCTTTTGTTTCAGATGCAGAGAGATAAACTACAGCCTTTTTTTCCACGGCGGTTATAATGCAGAATATGAAAAACTCTTGGGATGGTTTAAGCTGCAGGGTATTCTCCCAGAGTTCTGTCCAAAAATAATCTAGTAAAAATGTGGACAGAGAACCATCGACCTCTGCTTTCCCCCGAACATATGCAGCTCTGATCAGTCTGGTATTTCAAGAAAAACAAGGTCCTGAACCCTAATCCTCAGACACATAACAAAGCGCACTTCACAGCTGTGATGCACAGCTACTATCAGCTCCGAGGCCTGAGTGGGTCCCAAGACAATGCCTCCTTTATCACCCAGAGGACAAATATCTAGACAGCAATATTTTCTGCTTGAATGCTTCAAGCATCTCTCGCAACTCCTGACTGAAAGAGAAAACTGAGCTGAGAGTGTTTGCTGAGTGATTATTTTAATTTACTACTTGATGTAAATCTAAATGAACTGACATCCAGCTTGAGATGGACAGAAAACAATCATTGTGAAAAAAGAAAGAAGGCTAATATTACAATATCATTTGAGTAGCACAGGTTTAGGCAACTTTAGCAGTGGCAATGTAATAGATAGTGAGGCAGGGTTTGCATTTCCTTTTCTTCACTCAATTACCATAATAAGTTCTGTAATTTTAGGGCTGTTTATTTATCAGGCGACGATAACAAAGACGCTCAGAACACGGTGTCTGAATGCAATAGTACAAAGCACCCCAGTGTCAGCCCTCACATGCAGAGGGTTTGCTGACTCTCACACACCTGATTATCCGT